CGCTAATGACGGAATTGGGTGTTACGTTATTCATTCACTGCTGGCCGCTAAAGGAAAAGGAAATTACCAGTCAAATGCATTACGCAATTTCAACCGATACGATTATAATAATAATTGCCATGTATGTCGCAATAAACAACGAAATTTAATGCGAATTATAATACGTATCGAATAACACGGTTGCCGCGATAAAGCCGTGGTATTACAATTCAGAAATTCCACCCCTCGGAAGCGATTAATTGTGTATTGAGTTACATGCTCCTAGACTCTCCGAGCTCCGTATTCCTCGGCTCGCGTACCGGCAGAAGAAAACTGGGTCAACAGTGTTTGAAAAGGATAAGCAAGACGCTTACGAGGCCGGGTCGCCGTAAAGCAGAATCTTCCGTCGGACAAAGCGTGCCGGAGTCGCAGAATTAGATGCAAACGATGCGTCGAAGTTGCGGGCGGGGAGGGGACAGGACCTACTGTATCCCAAGAGCGCGCGGGTCTCCTTTGTGGGTCCACACAATGTGCTTCATAAATTGCATAATCTCGCTTTTATCATGCAAAGTGGATCGGCCCGTAATTACGTCAGTACGACGGCGAACACTCGAAGAAGCGTTCGAACTTACCGAGCTGTGAAATAAGCTGGGTTTATAGCGAGCCCGGCCGGTGGAGCGAGCGAGACGGTGACAAAAAACAGCCGCTGCGGATCGTACAGGCGATGAGTATTGCCCATAAAATTTTTCATCGCGACTGTACACCGCATAAATACGATCGTAACTTTTCTAATCTCCGGGATGAAGAGCGTCGACACGTATGGATGCCACCGGGGAAGAAAAATACCCGACTCCGGGCGGGGGTGTCGGAATTTTTTGCTGGAACTCGTTGAATAGCGTCCATTACCCGTCAATTATTTTCGATGAAACGCTCCTCCGCCGCGGATAAAACCTACTTTTACCGTCAACGAATTCCGGAGAAGCATCGCGGAGTCTCGTAGTTACGGCTGAATGCCAGGATACTGTGCAAAAACGTACTCGACTTTCTACGCGTTTCGCGAATCCTGCTTTATCAATCAAATTTATCGTGTTTCTCGGACTAATATCGTCAAGATTACGCGAATGCGAAGTCCATTATCGTCGCGTTCACTGTTCTCTCGTTATTTGCGAATGTTTACAGAGAACTTCGTTGAATTAGAGAACTTCTACAGTGAAACAACATTGAATTCAAAAATTCCTCGCGACTGATCCTCTAACATATTCAAGGCTGAATGCAAAGGTCCGCGGAAGAAATGGTATCGAGGATAAATTTAAACAGCGGTAAACGCGTTAATAAAACATCGATAAAATAGATCCTCATCCGGAGAGAATCGGGATAGGGGATGAGCCGTGGAGATATGGAAGACGGGAACGGGGTCGGACGAAAATCGTTCGGGGCGAATTCAATCTGGAAACAGTTGGGCAAACGCGACGGTGCTCGGACGTCGAGCGAGAAGTTCGTCGGGCAGAATCTCCTGGGTGTATCGCGGAAACGCCAAAATCCGCCGGCGGGCAACGTCGGGTATCGCCATGCGAACCGCTGGAATTGGCGTGGTCCCATCGGACATAAATTTCAATCAACGGCAGAGCAACGACGCTTCTACCGTCGACGGCAGCCGGTTCGAAGGGAATCCGAAATACAATCGCGTCCTCATTGAAGGCGTCGCTCGCATACTTCGACCCCTAGATATTTATTGCTACCTGATCGAAGGTAGGTACGCTGATTGGTTCCAGGCTGGTCCCTCGTTTCTGCGCGTTACACGACGCGCATGGATACGTAAATTCCAGCGGCGACGGCGGCGGCAGCAGCAGCGGCGGCCGCTGGTTTCCGTTGATTGGTCCCGGGGACTCGAAATTTGCATTAAACAAAACCGGCGGTTGGGTATCGTTTGCGTCGTCGTTATCGCTGATCGATCGACGTAATTCGGTGATATCGATCACTGGACTACGAAGTTTCGTGCGAACTTTATCGTCGAGGGCAGAGGACTCGGAAGTGAAATGAAATTTGCTTTCTTCCGCATCGAGAACGCAGATACATTAAAGATATTGCAAGAAAGAAGTGGATTTTATTTGAAGCCCTGTTTTATCCATCTTCCGGTAGTACCTCAGAAGTCACCAATGTATCAAGGTCTTCGGTTTATTGGTTCATCTTGGCTCGCGCAAGGGAAATGGGCTCGTAAATCTGGGTCGAAGGTTTCTCTTTTTAATTTTATTATCCGTCGGTTTGTTATTAGTACAGAATGAAGGACGAGGAAGGAACTCTGCGAGAATTTTATTAAAAGTAACAACGCTGTTGAATCGTTGATAGATTTCTAAAGTTACGCGTTACTCCCACGGTTTCAGTTCCCATCGGTGTCCATCGTTTTTATTTCGGACGGAAATATACTTTTAATCTGCGCTCTTTCGATTTTGACGTTCCGGAGATTCAACGACGAGATTGTACGACCTACTTCGAAACTCCTACGTCAGACTAAATCAATTTCCCATTTTTATGTTTTTAATCAATCTCCGGTGATTCTATCGTAGCCCAGCGCGCCTCTCGCCGCCGTTTCCTACGGCACTTTCGTATCCGATTTCTCCTATGAGTAAAAGCTACAATATCAATTACACTGTAGCAGAGCTCTTCCATAGAATTTGTTCATCTTCCAGCTTTAAGAAATTACATTTCCATTCGATTCCTGAAGATCAACGTCACAGGGAGAAACTAACTTCATTAATTTTGTAAACGTCGAAACGAACCTTCCACGAAACATCGTTTGGAAACAAAATAATCAAATTAAAATAATCTTGAAGGAATCAATTTCTTTTGAACTTAGTAGCGTACACTCTCTCAAGTGCCGCTTGTACGAACGCTTTTATCGAAATGCATCAGCAAGATGTTATTTGGAAATCACTATCCGCATTATCCGTTGTCGTCGATATCCCTCCAACAATACCTTTCGAGGTCCCGGAGTCGCATCAGGCCTGACCGATACAAGTTGAAACGGCACCTGTCGCACCCTCGTAAAACGAAAATTGCTTCATTAAGTTTTCCTTGCTGGGTCGCCTCAAGACGGTTTTGTTTGCCGATCGGTGCGCCGCACCGGGGCCATTCAACCGTGCTGCAAACGTTACGAGCAAGTGACATTTCCCCGACAATCGAACGTTTTCTTGTTCGACCGGCGATCCGCCCGGGGAAACGAAGCGCCGCGTCAGAATATTGCCTTCCTCGTTCATTGGCAGGTTTTAATTAACTTCGCGTTCAGAAAAGTAATAATACCCGCGCACTTTACATAAACTCGATAAACGAGAAACACGAGGACGCCGGGCCAGTGGCAGGGATGGAACGAAGGGAGAGGGAGCGAGTGCTGCCGGGAACAGCCGCGCGCGGCGGCTCAGATTGATTCGAGAAACGTTACATTGTGTCCTCGTTATTGCGCGGCTGCCGAGTGCATTCTCTGGTGCATCCGACTGTAACGGACCAACCTGTGATTGCTCGGAATTTTCAAACGGAGATATTACTTTGTTCCCTTCGCCTCGAACAACCGGGTAACAGGGAATGTTTCGTGGCATTTAATAAACGATTAACGAGTTTGCTTTCGTTTAACCCATTCCCCGCTGAAACCCCGGCCGCCCCGTTAATGTACGCCTGTGTATGAACGACCGTCAAACTAAAATAATCGAGCTACGGTGAAACTCTTACGCTACTGGTAGATTGCGATCACTTAGGAAGGTCTTTATTGAAACCTCATTGAATGACAATATTCAAACACGGCGTGGAAGTGTTTAAATACTGTTACACAGATAGATAGAACGTCGTTTAAAGCATGAAGTAAAAATATTTTATAATCAGATCATCCTTCAGAAATGTGAAGGAAGCTTTTGGAACATGGAAATCTTAGTATCTCAGCGTGCGTTCCAACCAGATGCGTAATGTACGAAAAATGGTAACCGTAAGGAGCTTCCGTCGGCAGGTTCCTCGCGGTTAAACGTGCGACGGCGGCGGAAACTTGTTCCCATTCATCGCGCAGTTTACGCGATCGCGCTCGTTTCCGGCAACATCCGGCCGAAACTTCCTCGAACAAGAACGCCCGAAGGACCTTCCGTAATTAGGAAATTCAGCAGGCCAGGGCGCGCATCCAGTTACAAAAGAAGGGAAGAAAACCGCGTGTCTCGTTAAGGTAACGCGCCCGGTACTGGAAGTTTGATTAGTCGGGCAGCCCGTGCAAGCAGAATATTAGCGAACGTGGCTGAGAACTTGTTCATTAATGGATCGGGGAGTTGGATGCCTTGGTAAATCCACGTTGTAATCTGACGACTGGATCGAAGGATTGGCGCGGGGTAAGGGTCACGGGGGTGGATCGTGGGGTGGCAATTGAAACTGCCAGCAACAGCCGAACAGTTCCAAGCCGGCGCGGTTTCGCAGGGTCTGTCTGCAACTAATATACGCGCGTGTAATTAGTTGTGTCGCGCTCGATAGTGCGCTTCGTGGCTGATTTGTTGTTCGCTATACTAATTTTATTGGCTCCCCTCCGCCGCGCCGCGCTATCGGCTCCACGCGTCTGTTTCTGTAACTACGTACCTACGTGAACTAACTGCCTCTGTATTTGTCAACCGTTCCGTACTGGTGATTACGGAAGTCGGGAAACTTCGCGGCAACGGAAATTAGTGACGCGAAATCACGATCGCGTGTCGCGATTTCGAGGAATCGATTCGATGGACTTCTTTAAAAATGTTGAAACGATTTCACAGCGATTATGAAATAGGATGTGAAATTAACATCGTTTTACTTTATTCGAGAAATTCTTTAAGGGAATTACAAAATTCGGAAGTGAGAACACACATTTTTACTACGATAAGGATCCGCGGGATCGGTGAGAAGAAGAGGGAAGAAAATACGAGTCGAAACGTTAGAAAAACATTTACATATTTATATATATATAAAATATAATACAATTTGTTACAGTGTAGATGATAGTGTAGCGTTTAGACGTTAATATCCAGTGTAAATTAAGTATAAATCTAAGAGCAGTATGGAAGGACAGGGCGCCCGGTATGCGTACGAATTGTGTACGCGCGCGCGCTCTCCTCGATCCCCCCTCTGAAACACACTCGCGCGCGCGCGCGCGTGTACACGTCGCTAACTGTAAGTTTTGCCTTTCTTTTTCTTTCGTTTTTCCATTTTCGTTCAACACGGTTACATGGAAATTATAAAGATAAGAGATACTGTTTACCTAGCTACCTGAATTCGAGTGTAGGTGCTTATAAAGAGTCCGGGACGTAATTTTAAATCTAAAAACTATATACAGGATACCTATGTACACGCACACGCTATTCGCTCGTTTCCTTAAACCACTCGCTTTTTCTTTTCGCTTGCGTCGCCGCCCGGTGGCCCGTGTATCGGGGAACGGGCCGCGGTTATCGTTCCCGGCGTTCTCTAATCTCTCTTCTACATACAGTACATACACGTGTCCGATTTCCTGGCCCCACCATGTTTTCGTGAAACGCGCTCGTTCACCTTCCGCCCATTACCTCGCGGTCGTTTCGATCGAATCGTTCGACATTCGCCGAATCCCGGTAATAATCACGCACGCGTGTCGCCGAATCCGATCGAGCATCGTTGATCGTTCGGCAAGCTCTCGTTCCTTCGCCTATCATCTCCTCTCCCCTTCGTCTCAGGTACTGCTCGTTGCTCGTTCAATCTCCTGAACGAACGCATCACCATGTGTATATTGTACAATGTGCAATTAGATCCGATCCAGAAACGACCGGGTGTGAAATTCGTGATCGAACGTCGCTCCGTTACAATCTGATAACATCGTTCGGATGCAGATTCGATCAACGTCCTCCGCTCGGACACAGTCGAAAGCAAGATGGGCGCCAGGATTAACGGGCCTTTAAGAGACGAACCAGCTAACGTACACACGATGCAAGATCATTTTTAGTATAAATGCGTAATATCGTTCCCTATGTATCTAACATAATTATTCCAGTATAAATGACATTTACTTGTGACACTTTGCTTGATTGTTCTGGTCAATATCACCGGCAGTTCCTATCACCATCCTAAACACTCCTGAAACTCCTCCCTTACAGCCCTCGGTACGGCGGCGACGTCGCGACTGAGAAATCGACGTCGACGTCGCGCAACGCGGAAGAAGTCACGGAACGATTTCGACCGTCGCCATTCTCGCACGGCCGATTATAACGAGCTCCTTCGCCGATGATAAATCATCGCTTATCCCCTTGGCGGATCGTACGGTTACGTACACGCAGCGCAGAAATTCGAGGGAAAGAAAGCGGCAATGGTTCTCGTTCGTTTCTCAAACTGTAACGCTCTTTCTCCTCACAATCCCCTTTCGTATTAATCTCCGGTCGATACTTGGCCGAATGCGAACGTTCCCTTTGGATAGAAATTGTTTGAAAAAACATAATGAGCTTGCCTATGTACAGTTTCTGTAAAATCTAGTTTTGTAAAATGTGGCTTTACATAATATTTAATGCGACATTATTTCGTTCTTCCGATATTAACGGCGTTCCTACGGAAGACAAAGTTTTATTTCATTCTCGAGTCTTCAAATTTACTTACGGAAATATATATTTGCATAAATTTCCGCAGTTCACGTATCACGTTTCACATGAGTAAGCAAACAGAAAAGGAAAAAATGGAATAGCGATATTTGACGAGCATGGAACAAGAAATTATTGTATACTGTCTCTTAACCCATTTTTTACTGCCAGTCTCTTTTAACCACTTCGAAACTTCAATGAGAACGGGAATATAAAACCCCGAACATTCACGGTACACAATCTCTATTAAAGTTTCATGAAAAATATGAATTTTTAATTCGTTTTCTGCGTCGGACCTGAATATAATTTATTAAACGAATTACGAACTGATTTAACCGTGTAACTGAAAAAAAATGTTAATTCAGACTAGTAAATGGCATATTTTTGCAAAGTACGAACGTATTTAATCATGGAAATAATTAAACACTCGAATTAATAAATTTAATTTTTGAAAAATGACTATTTACTTTTTACCGGGCTATTTATCGATACACTCTAGACCCCCATTAGCGCGGTAATAAAACGAAGACCTCGGGTAATTTTATTGAATCTTTTATAAAGCTGAATTTGAAAACATTGAAATCAATGTAATCTGCAGGAACATTCAGCTTCTGAAGATTAATCCCTCGGAAAGTTTGTTGAAAAGTAGAAAATAAAATCAACAGAACGTCCACAGCCGGCCAACGCTTCGTCGTCCGCCAATAACGACGATGATTCCGTCGGGCAATATCCGTTCCCAGATCTCGTGTACTGAATACGCATGTGTTCGTGTATGTAGACTCGATGATATTACGAATTCGATGTAATAAACGAAGAACGGCGAACGGAAAAGAAGGGGTATATAATGGCTGATTGGCAGTGGTTGGTTTCGAATTGGGTTTCACGCTGACATTAGCGAAGCGACGATTGACAGTTCATCCCGGCAAACTCGATTCGACGATTAACGATGGACAACGATGAGGTTCGAAAGGAACGGTACATATACATATACATATATTTTAATATATAGTTACTTTTCTTCCTTTAAATCCCTTTCTATCTTTCTTCCTTCTTTTCCTTCTTTCTTTCTTTCTTTCTTTGGCGCCTAATTATGTGTTTCCGCGTGATGTTTGGTGATCGCTCGACTGCCCTACGGTCTTCTACACATACAGATCCCCTATGACATTTATCGAATAATCGTAGTATTAAATTGTAAAACGTAGCTACGCGTTTATTCCATTACCGATTAGTCGACTACAGGAGGTTCCTACTACGCTAGGGAGAGAGCTTTTATCATCGACAATCGGTCGTCTTCTCAAAGCACGCCTTTCGCAGTGTTCAAACGTCGGCGACTATAAGCTGTTGTTCGATCGACGACCGTTTAGAAGGAAAAAATCATGTATACGCGAATCAAGTCGTTTTATAATTCCCCGTGAAAATATTTCCGATAGAACACGCGCTCTTAGCTGGGCTCCCCGAGTTTTTCGTGCTGTCCTTTTGTCACGCGGCGAGGGCCGCGTTTTTCCTCGACGCTTTACGGAATTCAGGAAAAATATGCACGCGTTTTAGGGGACCGTCGACTACAACGCGCCCGCCGTCTATCGATCGACGGTGTTCCGTCGCCATGAGTCCTATCTTTCTCTCTCTCTCTCTCTCTCTCTCTCTGTTATTCTCGTTGCACGCCACCGTGCATGTCATTTTCATTTTTCTCGCTTTTTTCTCCTTCCGCGGATCGAAAGAAGTCGAAGAACTTCTCTTCACGGTGTATTTCCCTTCTCTCTTTTTCTCTCGAACGCCCGAACAAGCGTCCCAGAAGCGTTCGATCGATCGGACCGAAAACGAATCGCGATAGAAGTGGCCATTGTCGAGCTTCGGTTACCGAATCGAATTCAATCGGAGCGCGATAGAAGACGTTTAGAACGAAGCAGTCGTGAGTCGAACCTCTCTACCTACACATTCCTTCTTTTCTTCTCCTCCTCTTTTTAATCGCGTCGCGGACAACTCGTTGCATCGTTTCGAAGAAGATACCCATTTTTTTGTCGTCTCTTCCCATTTTTATTTCTCGCTTCTTTTTTTTTTATTGTCTCGAGTGTAAATACGGAGGAATGAAAAACGGACGAAATTTGTCGAGCTACTTCGGGAAAAGTTGGTCGGGTTTGGTAACCGGGAGTACAGGAGATAACGGGAGAATCGAGCACGAATGAAAAATTCGAAACGTTCTTCCAAGAATAGCACCCCTTTGAAGCGTCACACGAAGGAACGGAAAGTACGCGTCGTTCGTCAATGGAACGACGCGGAAATCGGTCGAATTGTGATATTCGAGGAACGTCGTAGCGACAAGTGTTCCCGCTGGTGAGGGACTACGGGGTTCGCTAGTGACCCCGAGAATTCTCGTCAGGAACTGATCTGTTTGGCTCGTGTCGAAATTACGGAAATCCTGCGCCGCGCGAGACTTTCTCGTGAAGCCGAACTTCAATTCAAGATTTCGAATTCGAATTCCGTGAGATTCCGATGAACATCGAAAACCGTGAAACTTGAGAATCACCGAAAGCTCAACGCCGCGGCAAAAGTAACAAAACGTTTCAACGGTCGCACCCAGGATCAAAAGAATTCGTTAAACGGAAAGAAAGGTTGACTGAGAAAAGAAAATAATATTGCACACATTACTGTAAGAATGATATATTTATTTATATACAAAACTTCTCAGTTAACAAAATATATAAAATAAAGACAGACAGGCCGGAAATAATCTGAAAAAACGCGAGTCGTACGGTTTCACTTCTACTAAAATTCATCTCCCGCTGAATATCCTGTACAAAATTCCACAACACGACTCTCTTTCTTCTCGGACCCTCGATTCCGATCCGCTGCAAGATTCAATGTCCGATCACCTTGAATTGATTTCCGGATACCGCGGGGACGACTGGCGACCACTCGGCGGCGAAGAATCTTCCGAATCGAATAGGAGGAATATATATCGAATCAGATCCGACGCAAATGTACCCGAGAACGGTCGGGTACCGGTGACGTCTCGGTCAAGAGACGCGTCAAGAAACCGTGGCTGCGCTTCCGGTCGCGCGGCGCGACCGTTGAACGCTCGTCTTGCATGTGAAAGAGAGTGTCAACGCGTGGCAAGAATTAACTCTATACAATTAAATAAAAAATAAATAATCGCAGGCACGCCGCCGCGTGTGGCGGCCGCTCGGACAACGTTACACGTAAAAAACTGTACAGAATATTACAAAGAACCGCGTGTGTCGGTACGCGCGCGTAGAAACGTTGATCGATCGTCGAAGTCGACGCACTCGTCGTTCCTTTCCCGTCTGTCACTAGCGCGCGCGCGCGAGGATCGACCAACGTTTGCACGGTGTCTCCGTTTCGAAAACGCATTTATCCGTAGCTCTAATAGTAACAGAATATACAGACTTCCGGCGGGAAGGCCAAGCGAGACGTGTTTGCGACGCTACGGAGCAGCTCCGTTGTAAAAATAATGAAACGAAAGGTTCTAACAAGCGGATGGAGCGCGCGTATCGGCGACGAGGAACGTCGCGAGACTTTTGATTCGCTTGGTCCTCCCGGCCGGCCGGTGAAATAAACAGCCAACAATATAAATTCTTTCGAGCACGGCGTCTCCAAAATATAATATAAATCCCACTCGATCGACAGGATCCCGCGTCGGTTCGTTCTTTCCCGTGGATATCTTTCGTTCGAGATCGTTAACTGCTAAAGAAAGAAAGTGGCCAACAACCAACCGGAATGATCCGCGAGCTACGTTCTTATCTCGGAACGACGGGGTCGTCGGAGGTGGCCCCGCCGATCTGCCTAAATAGACTAGAAACTTGTGTTTTCTTGTACCGTCGCTCTAGATAGAACGCTGATGTCAACTCTGAGAACGAAGCTTAACTTAAGAAAAAAAAAAAACTTACTCGTTAAAGCGTATGTAAGCGGTATACATACAAGGAGTTCCATCGCTGAAATTCGCATATCATATTCCGCGCGATACAATATGCGCGCTTAACGTCTTCGACGCGTGCAGACGGACGAAAATAAAACGGTGGTCTAGCTGCGCCGTGGACCGAGATTCCTGGCTTTCCATAGAAACGTTGTCTCCTTTGATCGATGTCGTTACATCGATAGTCGACGCTGTTCCTCGATAGAATTTCGGAATGGCTCTCGAATTATTTCGATAGAATTAGAAAAGTATTCGCGTGTCGATATGGGTCAACGGTTCTTCAATTTCATTCGGGTATTGCTACACATGCTAGACACTGGCGACACCATCTATAATACATCGACCGTCGCACTCAGTTCCGCTCGTCTTTTCAAGACGAGCACATTTACGTAGGGCTGTAGGGACGAGGTGGAAGCTTAGCTTCTAGACGAGGGGATTGACCGCTGTTTGAAAAGTGGATATTGTCCCGCGCACGTCCTAAAGCGCTAATTACGAAAAATTATGAACCGTGGATTAACACTAATGCCCAAGTTAGGACGTCGCTCGAAGATAGACGTTTTAGAGAATATAGAATATATTTTTCTGTTGGGAAAATATTGAAAATGAATTCATGCAGCTATAATAACGTAAAATAACAAGTAAAATGTTACGAGCTATCGAGAAAACGTTGCAAATATACCATCTTGATACAAAGAAAGCAAACAGTTCTAAATTCAGATATCGTTAATCCGCGATTCATAATTTTTCCCAATTAACGATACAGCGCGAGCGTGGAATAGCACCCAATCGAATCTAGACATTAATCTTAAAACCCATTCCTCTCAAACAACAGTCATCCCCAGAGGCATTTATGCCTTCATCCCCACATCCATAAACGAATCAAATCGATCCTAGTCTTCCGTAAAAACCCAGGTGTTCGTAACCGAAAGATATCCAACGATCGTCCTGTACGAGCACGCGATACATCATAACAATAGCGCACGAGCAGAGATCGCGAGAAGGGAGGGTCGATCGTCGAGCGAGGACAGCATGGACGATCCCGATCACCGACGAACGTTCCACGCGAGGGGTAAAATCTGTTTGGCAAACCCATCGTTCAACGAATTCCATTCGCTCTACGCGGACATGCGAACCCGTTAAAAATATGTCTCGTTCACCCTTAGTTCCATCGGAATCGGTACCTTTACTAAAAGCCGCAAAAGAATAAGAATATCGCGCAAGCACTATATGTAATCGAATCACCCGATAAAAGAGACTGAAGATGAGACGCGTCCACCTTGTCCTCGATCAACATCCGACAGAACGACAATAGTATCATTATTTAGCCTAAGTGACGCGTCAGAGTGTTGCACGCCGGCACGTACTTACATGCGATCAACTCCCCCGAGATCCAGCGCGATCAACGAGAGGATAAAATGGCCGTCCTAGACGAACAAGATCGATCGATCCGTCGGTCGATCGGTGCCGAACGGACGGGCCACTGTTCACCTGAACGCGGCGCCGGTGATCATCGTCGCCGCGGCGAGCATCAGCGGCAACGATACCGATCTGACGGAGGAACTTCCGGCGGAGGGCCCGTCGCTGCTGCGGGACACTTTGTTGCGCACCAATTGTCCCCGTTCGACTGCGTTCGTCTCGTCGCTGTCCGGATCGACGGGCGCCCCGATGTCACCGTCTTCGCTCAGCAGCATCGACAGCTTGTTCCTGAGCGGCTTCTTCAAGCACGGCAGGCTAGTCTCCTCGTAGGGCCTCAAGATGCGCGGATAATGCACCTCAAGGTTGTCGGTGCCCGGCAACGGACCCTTGCTAGTCGAACAGAGCGGCTTGAACGTGCCGGTCCGCGTCGTCTCCTGGAACGTCTGGAAGTTTTCTTTCCAGTCGTAGCTCACTAGACGCTCCTCCAGCGTCATACCCTCTAGCTCCTGTGGTTCTTGGATCTGCACTGGATTGGAACCCCTGGAACGAGATATGAAGGGAACGTGAAGTTCTCCGTTCTTCATTTGAGCCTTCGTATCGTACGCGATATTTTAAAACAGGAATCGTTTGTAGAACTTGCGTCTCGCAAATTGGAGGACTGAAGTCCTTTCTATTTATTTGAATTTTTCGAATTTAGATGGTGTACAATGGTTGGCAAGCGATACGAGACAAACAGATTTGAAATAAATGCTTAAGAGAACAACTAATCTTCAGAAGCTCTTTTGATATAGATAAAAGCACCGGAGAAGTTCTATCATCCGAAAACTCGTTGAATCCAATGCATTCGTCTTCCGATCAATTCGCGCCCTCGTGTCTCTATCGTGTTTCAATTAACAATACCGCGCAACGGCCGGGTATCGCGTAACGCATGCCCAAGTAAAACGGATCGAATAACACCGAATTGAAACATCCAACCGAGTACATTCCCAGTTGACCAGTCGTTCATAATTCATGGAACGATCTCACGAGCTCCGTATTATGAACAACTATCCGAATAACAATGGACCGGGGCCGCCGTATAGCTTCTACGTCCCTCACAGATCTCCCAGTTAACAAGCCAACTGGCAACGACCTGCCGATATATTAGCGCTGGTAATAACAGTAATTCAGCCGGGGCATTGAATGCAGTTGTGTGTCTGTACGGTGTGCGAGTGTATTTAGCGAAACAGGACGCTTGTTGCATTAAAGTTCGTGACACGTCGCGCGAGGCGTCTTCGTGACACACGTAATGTTACGTAACGCGGCGAACGATACGTCCGGCGCAGCGCGCGGACCACAGCCGCGCTCGTTTCCTAATGGTGGGTGTCGCGACAGGTCGTGATGCGCGGCCGATCGCGCACCCCTAATTGCCAATTTAAAGTAATCAGAATAAAAGGAGCTGGCGTCTGGCTGGCTGCGCGCAGAAACGGCGCCCGGTTTCGATCATTAGCGCGGCATCGACACGTCGACCGTGTAAATTAATATCAAACGGACTTTGTACTCGGACGATGCTGCCACAGTATTAATGGCCGGTCATTATTTCGTGAAACGGGGACAAGACACTTTGGACGGGCTGCTCCGCGGAGCGTTTCGATGAGGATGTATACTCACTGCATCAGCTTCTGGATCCCAAGGCTCTGCAGAACCGTCGGCAGCGAAGGCAGCGAGTAGCAGAGCGAGAGCTCGATGCGAGGATAATATAGGGTGGACACTAGGCATGTCTCCTCGCGCGTCGTCAAACCGCCCAGCGTGATCGCTTGCCTCGACTCGGACGAGTACATGCACTCGGCCACGAGGTGATCGGCCTGAAATGATCAATTAACTGTTCCTTATTGCGTGATCTCTCGTGAATCGAATGATTCAACGTTCGTTCTTGTCTCGTCTAAGACGGGACATTTAAATAGCTTTCTTTAGTTTCTTCGATTCTTAGAAGATGGCACGTAACGTTTCATTGGAATTATTCAAGCTCGACAAACTACAAGAAAATTGTGGCAATTCAACGTTCATATTTCCGCAGCCGTTGAGTAAATGTGTACAAATGAATTCCTTATCAGGTTGGTTTCGGCGCGGCGTCATTAAATTACCATCTAATGAAATACAGGAGGCACGACGTGGCCACGAAACCACCGTGCCGCGCCACTCACCGGATAGACCCTGACGGGCTTCTGCAGCTTCCGATACTCCTGATAGCTGGGATCGTAATTGGTGTCAGACGCAATGGGTGGCAGTTCCTCTCCGGACCTTATCTGACGCAATCGGACCTTCCTGCCGAGTTGATGAGTATGCATGACGACGGCGAATATGTTGATGCCGTTGTTGGGAATGGTCTGCCTGGTACAGTCCGAGATGCAATGACCTTCGGAGACCACTTCTGGCTGGCCTGGCGGTATGAGGTGCCGCCAGTTCGGGTCGATGCCGACGCTGAGGATCCCGGCATCGTGAGTGCGCAGCCGGTCCGTGTAATGCAGACGCAGGCCGGAGCTGTCGGTGATGAACGCGTCCATCTGCGGATTCGTGTAATGCGTTTCCAGCATGTAATAACGCGGACCGGCGTGCGGGTCCAACGGGTAACCGGCCTCCTGCGGATAATTGAACCCCTAGAAGCAAAAAAGAATCCCACGTGGAAAAAAGGATTATACGGCCAGCCTGGGAGATCGTGCGGATCATGGTAATTGGATCATGCTCTTTTTTATACGCTTTTCCGTTGAAACGTTTGCGAACTGTACGGAAATAGAGCAGTGCAACGAACGCATTCGAATGGGAAAGTATTTGACTTTTAATAAGTAGGCGAGCTAGTCGCTTTGGATATATTGATTACGTTCGTGTCAAGAAAATTTCGCTTTTGCGCAATTAATGTCGAACGGTGAAACTTATTGTCCTTACACGCATGGATCATTTAATGGTTAACTTTATCAATTGAGCTATTCGAGTAATCGATTGCCGTTAAGTATAGTGTTGCAACAATTGCAGCTTACACGGTACTCGTGAATGTATTGCACGTTAGATCTTTTATTCGTTAACTAGATACTAACATGTTGGAGTAAAAATTCGAATAAAAACGTTATCACACAAGATCAGCTGAACGAGTGTCTACCGACTGAAACGAAAGGACAAAAATATCTCGGACAGAGAAGGATTGATTGTCCTATGAAATCATGGAAAATTGTCGTCGTGTCAGACGACAAACTACGATCAGAGTTAATCGTTGAAAATATTGTAGTCGCAGATGCTGTAATTACCGTCGCAAATCATGCTTCAGATAGGATCGAGATACGAATCAGTCACAGGAGTAATTACGCGAGGATAAATCACTGTCCGCGAATGTTAATCCGTCGTCATGGGACGCGGGTAAGAGACACGGGCAAGGACGGTCTGAAGTGGGGGAGGGGGCTGTGCATCGCGGTAATTCTGGGTTTTGTGTAATGCATACCAATGGGAAAGCGCGGACGCGCCGCAAACTCGTTTCTTCGCAGTCGTCGGGAAACACGAGCCACGAAGACCGATCGTGCGAACCTGTTCACCGATTTCACACGCTATGCCATAAGGTTACGCAGATGTCATAGATGTATACTTTGCCAATATTAATTTAATCAACGTTCGATAACTTGAAATTAATTATTATATAATCATAAACCGCAGCAAACTAGCTATCGGTTAACGTTGATACTGCTTAAAGTTCGTTGATGCTGTTTTGATTGTCGAGAATTTAAGAATATTTTGACACTTTGAAATTTATTGTTATAGAATTCTATGTTTAATATTGTCGGAGGAAGATTCTCATGGATTGAAACAGTATCTGTGAAATCTGAGTTGGCGACACACCGATGTAATACAATCACAGTGCGATTTAATTGATCGCGAAAAGTATCACCCACCGATCCATATAAAAGTAAGTGGAAAATTCTCGATTTCGCGTGATTAAAATGACGCACACCGTTGCAAAGATTACATTCGCGACGATTACGCGCCGAATCAATTCGATAAATTTTAATTAACCTACATCGCGGACTACTTGAAATCCGAGCGCGAATTCGATTCACGGTACGCTTCGTATGAAATTCGTTCGGTTCGATATAAACTGTAATAACGAAAACGCTCCAACTGGATGTAATATATTCTGTTGTTCATTCGTTGATGTAATGGTCATACGAACCCTCTTACGGATTCATTGTAACGGTTGGCTAAGTTCGATGGTAATCGAGACCGTGTTTTATTAAAAAATGAAAGACAAAAAGTTAAATAAATTAAACGCTTTAACGTTAAAATATGAAAAAAAAACAGTTTGACTCGCGAACATATAAATCGTAAATTATTCTAAATCAATGCAATTTTAAAAAATGAAAATGAAAATTATTATTTCACTTAATTTCATATTTAATTGCTAGTAGTTCATTCGAATAGATTATTTAACATACCTCGGAGCCGAGACTCCAAATGGCCGCGATTGTGTTGCACTGGAAGGCCGGCTGATAGCAAACGCCACCGGTCGTCTTCGCAGCGGTTTCTAGTGCTGTCTGGTTTCCACGACACTCGTATAGTGTCATATGATGCAGGAAATGGTGGCTTCCGGGTTGTATTACCGGCTCGTACTGCAAAATTAAACGGAAAATTAAATTTGACAATTGTGAGGAGATAAATCTTCGCTGTTCTATATTTTATACGATGCCTAAACTGCTAAGTACGAAAGTTTGATCTTTGATCCACGCTACGAATAACCAACCTGCTCGAAACAACGCTGAATCTAAAACACGAGAGACGTGCAGTTCTTCCACAGAGGTTCGATTCAATCGCGTGTATTGAATCGAGAATCATGCGACAGAAATGCCGTACGTGTAAGTGACTATAACGACGGATAAATTTCGAATAGCGAAGTTATCGGCATCTGGGAGCTAATCTCCTCTCCTCGAGTACTGCCCGCAAGAGAGTGCAATGCAATCCCGTCACGTAACGTGGTCACGTTCGATTGACTTCGAGATGCTGTTAGTTCGATGGCGAATAGATACAAACTGTGTCGATCCTGCAGCCATTGTCGACTGGCCAGAAAATTATTCCAGATACCCCATTCTGTCGTTGTGAACAGTGTCAAGGGGAAAACTCTGAATCTATTGTACTCAATTCGACGTATCCTTCTTTCTATTCTAACAATTCTTTTTATCACGTTACAGATTTCAAACTTTGCAACTATAAAAACCATAGATATTTTCGAAGAATTCATGCACTCTTCCCTATTCATTCTGCAAACTATAACACTTCGACTACGATCTCTATTTCTTAATAACAACTCCAGTCAACTGAAATAAATCATTCTTAAATAGAATACCCGCGAATGTCTAATAAATCGCTTGAACGATCCACTTGAAACTTTATCAACGAGATCCATGACGTTTCTCGACGCGGTAGCCGTTATTAGAATTCAACGGTTCCTTCGATGACTTCGCGATCGATTGTTAAGTGGGAATAGAAATCGGTTCCCCTGTGCGTAGTCAATAAACCGATCCCGCGATTTCGTTTCATCTGGGTCGCTGGAACCGCGGGCCACGCGCGATGGAGCTCGGCCGACCGGGTAAACTTCTGGAATCGAAACGACTCGAACACGAGTAAAAATAACGCGATCGGCCATTAAAGCCGGAATTCGCGGAGATCCGTCGTATAGACGACGGCAAAAGTTTCATGAAGCATTCTCGGTAATCGAACCGGGGGCCACGTTAACCGTAAACGCGAGTCGGAATACGACCGCCCGACCTGCTTTCGGGAAACGAACTCGCGAGAGGATTTCCTCTTGAGGAAGCGAGATCCCACGCCGACGGGAATCTGTATCTACATTCCTGGTTTAATCAAGTCTCGAAGGTCTGGATGCGTAACACGCGACGGGAATGCCGAATAGCAGTCCCGAGTGAAAAATTCTGTGACATTTTGGTAGAACCCCTCCGAATGAAATTTGCATTGAGATTCATTAGAAATTTGGATTTTTCCCGTAATGTACAATGTAATACAATTTACGTACGCTTAACGATTTCTCCTGTAATTTATTTAATTTCATCGTTTTAAGTGAAATGTGCTGAAAACTATTCATTTAACTTATTAAACCAATGAATGGAGTTATTACATATTATTTAACGCTTTTCTAGAGGGAAAATATGAGAGAGGAATACAGTTAAATTTTAAGTTTAAGAAACTTTTCGTTTCGAGATTATAAGGCCAAGTCGAACAGCGCAACTAAAATTTGTGACGAAATCTGGAGTTTAATTAAATCTCACTCTGCAGTGGCGGGTAGCGCTGCTTCAACTGAATGCAGATAGAGAGTGGAAGACGACTTAGGTGGAGGTTTATCTATGGTGTAGTATTTCATGTGACTCTGATCTAAACAGTTCCTTGGAAGAGTTGCGTAGTACCCAGCGGAGATTCTTAGCTCTTTAAACAGTAATGATTCGCGTTTTGAGTCGAATTTGCAAATTGTTCTTGCGTAATTATTACTTTCTTAATATGTTATGCTTGGGCACTATCTTTTTTTTGACAAACAAAAATTGATCTCTTAATAAAATGTCACTGAATACGAATTCGAACCACTGTGCAAGGAAAAGTCGTACAGGTGTTTGAAACTCACCTTCACAACATGGTGTTTGCGATGAATGTTCGGCATTTTGAGAACGCGGCACCAATGCAGCGTGTCCTTATCCATCGGCAAGTGGACCTGCAACATAATCGGTTACTTAATTAACCAAACAATTTCACTTCAAACGAAAGGGAATATTCTCGATAATTAAGCAAAACTTCGACGCTACTCCTTCTCATTATTTATCGTTACACATTTGTCCATTCCCGTTTTACAACCGTACATTCCTTCAGAAAGTATCTCAAAATTATTTAAACTCTCACAAAAGCACCAGTACCATTTCAATAAAATTTGAACGAAAAATCTGTAGTGGATCGTTCTAATCAGTCCAGTACTCCCAATTTTAAGAACACTCCAATTAAGCTTCCCATCGATTTGACAGGGAGTGTCAAGTATTTAGAACACTTATTTAATCCTCGGAGCAGTTCAGCGCTCCTAAAAAACTTTAGCCAGATCCTCGACAAACGAACAATTGCCATTTATATCATTTCCACGGTGTTTCCGTATCCCGGGGATTAATGTCTGAAAACTGTGTCAACGCGATCGATGGAAGGAAGATTGTAATTGACGCGTTCGGGGTGCAATCCCACGAAAACGTGAAAGGGGCAGGATCTCTTTGAAACGTACAACCTACATTTTACCGTGTTTCGTCAAAGGAATCGACGTCGACCGGAAAAAAAAGGAGAACTCCGTTCCCGGTAATAACGAAGCATTTGCAAACGATTAAATGAAAGTATCCCGCGTATCGACCACCGTCGTGTTTATTTCGACGTCGAGGAGCATTCTTGTCGAATGCGAAAGGAAGGGGGGAAAAAATGAAAGAAAGACGAAGAGAAAGGTTGGTTCGGGCTGCAGCCGCCGCGGGGTCTTCGCGCGACCGAAGGAAGAGTCCCGAGAAAATTGCGATTCTTTTTTCGCGGCCGTGTTCACCGGCTGCCCTTAAGCACGGGCAACGCCGCCGGATTCTCCCACGCGGTTCTGCGAAATTATCGATGTCAAGATTACCGAGAAGGACGACTGCGTTTATTGTTTTGCGGTCGAATATGCTGAACGCCCACGGGCGACGACGGGGATTTTAGGCCCTTGCGAGCCTGTGTTTACGATTCCGTGGCTCCTGGACCGTGGCTAGCATCCCTCACGCGAACGAGATGCCCTCTAATGAAATTTTTACCGAAAATTCTCTAAATTCAACTTCGAAGTTATCCCAACGAATGTCTTGCAATTTTTACTTCGTAATATTTCTATACTATTGCACGTGTATCGGTGAACTGATAATAGCAGCGGGGTTAAAATAACTCTTTGTAAGAATTACTCCCTCTGTCCCGTAATAATAGCAGCAGTTGATGAATTTAATTTATCCCATAATAATAGTAACAAAACAAAATAAGTATAGAACGCAACATATATTATCGAAAAACTAGATTAAGTTCAGATAGTTTCCGGATTTTTCAATAATTTCGTTATTGCATTTTAAAGGTATAGGTAGGATTCCTTGACTGCGATGCTTTGCTTTCTCTCTATACAATCTTTCTTATTCTCTTCTGTAAGAAATGGTTTGATGGTGCTTGAAACTAGTTTTATGGATTTCACTCTTTTTCAAAATTCAACATAACTTACAGCTGCATTCGTCCATAATTGCCGTTTAAATATTCACTTGCTACTATTATTATGGGACAGAATAAGTAATATTTTCATTTGCATAATGTAATGAATGTCGTATGAGAATTTGTAACAGTATATTTTGATAATCTTTGTAAGGGGATATGAATTATATACGCTTGTTAATTCTAGTCTTAAATTGAATGATTAAATCTTCACATCGAAGAATTTCAATCTGTTCCCTTATCTTTCGTAGGTTCTATTTAATTTCCGAGGGTGTAAATGCGATCAAAAATTCACAGTATAGTCATAACCAACTTCAGTACGGTAATGGCTGATGAGCGCTTCGCTTCTTTGCGCGACAGATGGTCATAAAATGGGATTCTTGGACAGCTGTAACACACATGCGCTAATACTCGTCAGATGCTTCTTAATTGCAAATTTCTTGGAACGCCGGGATGAGTTTCGAAGAGAAGAATTAAAAAGCACGGAAATATACCCAGAATACTGATGTTTCAAATAACTTGTAACGAAAAACAGATATTCGCCTTCCTCAAAATATCGATCAATAAAAATGAATAATCTCGTAGAAGAAGCACGATTAGGAGAAGCTGGAAATCGCTAACAGATCAGCATCGAGCAACGTAGATGTCATGACGGAAGTCATTAAATCTTCCTGCTGAGCATTGCTTCGCCAAGAGGACTTAAAAGAAAAAGATTCAAAAAAACCGATACCTTATTCGAAGTTCGGCTAGATAAATGCAATTTTCGAATAACAAAGATAATTCCTTCCAACGTGATTGTTTAAAAAATATGACTGAGCTTGATTTTAGATATAGAACAGTCACTGAGAAAAGTATCAACGAAATTTTCACAAGTGAAAGATTGAAAGTGGCATCGGAGATCGAATAATTGATACCCGATAAAACCGAGTCGGAATTGGATATGTAGATGAGGAGAGAGCACAGTGTGGTCGGTTTGTTTTGACGAATTCAACGCGAAGAAAAACGTCATCGTGCGAGGGATTCACGATGCGGCCTCACCCTTGGCCGCTTTTTCCCCTCGGGTGCGTCTCGTTTCTTGGAACGAGAAGAGACGATAATTATCCTCCGGGTATGCCGCGTTTCGCGTGCTATGCGTTCAAATGGGAGGCTTCTTTTGAACGGGCTACATAAAAACGCGTTTTATGCTGCTCGACTGGCTCACTCGCGTAGGCACTTCATATTTCGCTCTTTCCTGTTTCACGGCGCGGCGCCAACTTTTTATCCGTGCTTTCACTCGTATAAATAGCTAATATCGCGCCCCCGGTTCCCACCTACATTGGATCTAGATGTTCTCGATCTGCTCGAACCGTCTGGCCTAGTTTCCAATACAAGGAATCTGATTATCGAGCATCCACGATTGAAGGCAGCGCTGCTCAAAACTGCTTTAAATCATTTGCTCGGCGATCAACCAACTGAACATTTCCACTGGGATTAAAAGCGACTTGATGCTTCAAGTTTTATGTTATTGAAGTTAACTCTTGCAGCCGTGGGGAAATTGCGATGTTAGAGTTCTAATGAAATGGATTGCGGAGTCTTTTATTTTTAGGCAACCGTTGGGAATTATATTACGAGTGAAGTCCAATAAAATAGACTGTTTGAAACGTTTATTGATTATGTTCTTGTTTAATTTCGATTTTGATCAATTAATCTTTGAGAATACGAATGCGCGTGCAGATTCGCCAGTTACAGCGGAAGATGAGATTCAGAGATCTTCATGAATCTATGCATGTGTTATACGAATATCAATTGTAACATCACTGCCACGTGAGTATTTAAGGTGCCATTTAAATAACCAATGTAACCTGCATTTGTCTTCGAAGTAACCTGATTATTTTTTATTTATTGAAACGATTAAAATTCATCGTCTGTCTGAAATTGCAAACAATCAGTTAGTCATTGAATGATTTAGATAAAATAAATGCTCCATTACAGTAATTCAATTACTAAAATATTCATAAACAATGATTTATTAACGTTACGTCTAGCGGCGATTATTCGAGAGACTTTTAAAACCCAAAATAATTTACTAAGGATTTTTTCCTAAACGACTCCAGCCATTATTAAATATAAAAATTAATTAATCCCTTTTAATTCAGTTAAATAAATTTGTTTGAAAATTCGGAGTTTCAGATTTCCCATTTACATCTTTAAGATAGAATCACGTCAAAGCTTATTTTAAAAAGTTATCGAACTCATTTCCACGAAGTCGATCAATTATTTTAATGAAAATAATTTAGACCCCGATATTCACGCCAAAGCGTATTATAATTTGAAAAAATGAATAAACTTCCGGCGAATAAAGAGTTAAGAATATTCGCGAGAATATCCGTGGTTATATCGTAGTCGCTCGACGCGAAGAAAATGCGAATATCCGAGGTAAAGAGCGGGCCGCAGTCTGGGAAAGGCGACGAAACGCGATACGCTGCGGGCGTGTGCCTCGTCAACGAAGTTTTCGTTTCGATTCGTCGCGGAGAATGGGTCCGCGGGAAAAATTGTATCGTTGCCAGTCGGCGAAAAGGGAGCCGAATGAATGCAAACCCGCCCTAACAAGCCGGCTCCTCTTTGTGCCCGCGGACATTCATATTCATCGCGGCGCGATACAAAAGTTATTCGGCCGTCGCGGAACTTTCGCGTACGTAGTTAACGAAGAACAAGTGGCATTCGCCCAAAGAAAGAAGTAAGAGAAAGAGGAGCGGAGCCGGCAAGATAAGCGGCCGCGCTCCTGCAACTTTAACGTCGTCGCCGCCACCCGGCTCGAACATGGACGCATTCGCCGGCCGAGAGACAATTAAAACCGTGACAACCTCGACGCCGCATTTCGGCGGAAGTTTTCGCGACCAGATGAACGTGTGTTCGAGCAATCGGCCGTGGATGGAATTAAGAAGTTTGCGAACGAGACGGTCCATGAACACGCCGGAGAAGTCTCGAAATGGTTCCAGTGCTGGATGAGTGAACGTGTAAACGACTGAGAGAATAATATTTGGAAAATATAGAGGCACAAAGGTGTGACGGAAATTTGGGGATAATTGAGTTTGAAAATTCCAAAAACGTGCCTGATCGTAATTTGTAGTTTCTATTGCGTGTGGATGCTTATGTTTCGCGTTGCATACAGTTTTGAAGTTAATCATTTTGAGAATGAGGTTTCTTAAGAAAAATATTATTCTGTGCTTTCGACTTGTTTCGTCACGTAGATTCAGGTGCTACCAGATTGCACCGAGATATCAAAAACGCTCTGTGTACCACCGCGCTGAAAGTTTCAGATTTATTGGATAAGTTTTTCATAGAAAATATAGGAAAGGTTGAATCACTTTTTCGATAGTTAGATAACAGGGTTTCTTACTAAGTTGGCGACAAAGTTCTTTCACACTTGGTAGGCCGATCAATTTTATCCATGCTATCGCTAAAACATCGTATACGTATTTAAAAAAAAATTACGAAAAATTGAAAGTCTAATAAAGTAATTACATTAACGTTTTACAGTTTCCTCTTCCCTAGCAGTAGTAGATTACTCGTTCTTTGAAAAAAGTCTCTCCAATCTATTAAGAGACATTCAAAAAATCGACCCACGAGAAAAATTCAAAATCCGACCGGGCACAAACGATTTCAGGTCGGCCGGGTATCGAAGTATAAAAGGCGGGAGGGACGAGGAATCGTTTCATTTGCCGGGCGAACGAGTAATTTCTTTCCAGTTCGTAGAAGCGGTAATTTGTTACAGTGTGATGAGCACCGAAACACCCCCGCAGCCCTTGCGCAGTCCCCATTCGATGTATAAATTGTAAACAGAGCTGATGAAATTAGCGTCGTTCGGTTTCGACAGCTACGCGAGCCCGCCCCGTAATTCCAATTTATTATTTCGTTCCTGGTTTCCTGATAATACCGTGCCGCGACCCCTGCCTCTCGGTTCGTCGACGCTTCCATTACGCGACCCATCGACACGCATCGCTTGATTGAATTACACGAAACGAGCGGGACCGAGAGAAAAAAAAAGCGACGCGAAGGAAAGGGAGGAGAAGAAAAGCGGGCGAAACCGATTTATAGGGAGAACAAAATCCATATTTTACGACGATGAGTTTCCACGGGGCCGTGAATAAAGCGTTCCTTTGAAATTCAAGATTCCTGGCGGACCGGGATGCCAGTAAAAACGGAAAAGACGGCGACCGGGCGACCGGATAGTACCGATTTCTTCCTGATGCGTGCCATTCCCATCGTTCGCCAACTGCCTTCCATATTCCCGTATTTACGAATTGTGCTGTTTTTATGATCCCGCGATCCCGGATCAGATCGAACGAAGCGGCGAGTCTTCCTTCGCTGCCTGCCGGCGAGCTGTCACCGAGAAATATTTCCGAATCGGTCGGTGCCACGATTACTCTTCCTCTCCCGTTTCCACCGGTTGATCGATCCCATCCCTCCGTGTACGTGACGCGTAGATTCCCCTCTAAATGGGGGCCACCCTCTACCTGCGTCCCCGTCCACCGCCGATATAAACTATAAGCACGGCCGGCAGCCCGTGGAATTAGCATTGTCTGATCCGGACGATAGCGTCGACCCATAATCTATGACCCCGACGACTCTAATGAACGAATAGTTTTTGCCGGATGTGACCCGGTTAAGATTTATGCCCGTCATAAATTCGTGCGCACAATGCATTCGCGGCTTGCATCCGATAAAAATCCACTCCGCGCCCGGCCTAAACGTTAAACGGGCTCGAACATTCATCTCACGCGTGGATCCCGACGTCCTCCCTCTATCCCTCTGTTTCTCTTTCGCTCTCTCGCTGACCGTCACTCCTTTTCGTTTTTTAATTTCACCGCTTTTTTCATCGCGTCCCACGTCCGCGCGCTCGCGGAACAGAAGCGTGACTAAATCGACTGAGAGAGAAAGGGAGCGTGTATCGCAGAACAACAAAAATCTGACCGCCTTCGAGTGCCGAACTAACGAATAATGGTCCCCTTTGCGCGAACAGATTGCGGCCAGAGCCCGGCCAGCGTCCGCCCAAACGAAATTAGCGGCCATGTGGCGGAATCGCATTATGGGGCGAGATAAAAGCGCTCGAAGCTTTCTGATCCTCGTTCGGCTTTCTTCTCGCAGTTCTTTGGCTTTTGTTGCTCGCTGTTAGCGCGATCGATAAAGAAGTTTACGCTGATACTGATATTGTAATTTCACATTCCGCGGTTCGGTGGTATTCGTTTCACACACGCAACGCCGAAAGGTTGAAAGTTATTTTTCATAGACTAGAGGTTTACAATATTCTTTTAGTTTTCAGAAAGGGAATTCAATTTTCCGACGGAAAGAAATTTCTATTCGCGCCCTAGAAAATGTGTCCTATAATGGGTTAATCATATTCCTCTCGTGTTAGCAACGGTTAAACGAATCCAATTTAATCCTTTACACGACGAAAGTACCACTTTCATCAAAATGCTGCCATGACCCAAATACGCTTAGATCTATTTTCGATGTCATACAATTTAATGCAAAGCACTTCTACTTGCATTGAACTTTAACCGTTATAAAAAATATTTATACTCAGAACACGCATCGACTGCATAACCTTTAAAGTATCCAGAATAAAGTAGCAATAAAGAAATTCCACGATTCAAGGCACGAAGGTTACCTCAGCCGAACAGTTACACGAAAGCAAGCGGCTAGAAATATTCTCTCATACTCATCCCGCCCCTTCCCGTGGCTCAAAACAAACCTCTGTAATCCGCAGCTCGCAACGAGGTGTAAAGAGTTAGCAAAACAAAAACCACGAAAAAAGCCGCAAGACCGTGGACGTACGCCGAAAAGAATATCTTCCTCGCTTTCCTCGCGACCGTCCCTTAATTTCCCGACACCCAAAATCTCCCGTACACCTATACATTAAATTATTACCACCTACGCCGTCCTCTATCATTATGCATACGCGAGAGTCCCGGCGAGGTATCCTTTCTCGCGGTATAATCATATTATGGGATACTCGGCCACGCGGTGGGCTCGCGTTACACCATAATTTTCCGCCCACACGGTCCCGCCGGTTTCGCGCATCATCGAATGATCATCGACACCGAGAGGGGCGGGTGTGGCACCGGTTTTCGAACCCCGGTCACGGGGTTGCGTTGCATAAGGATAAAACGCAGCGCGGCGCGTGTGTAATTGATCGCCTGGGAGCCGCGCGTAGACGTAGATAAATGACTCCGATATACCGACCTGCTGGTTCAATATGTCCCAGGTTTGAAGCGGCTGCTCGACTTCTTGGTTGCGCGGGCTGGGCCTCGGCTGCGAGTCCCTCTGCACCAGGTAAAGCGGCCTCGAGCCGCGCACCGCCCCGTGAGCGGGCAGCACGCCGGCCGCGGACACCGGCTCCTCCACGTGATATTGCCAAACCACTTGCATCGTGTCGTTCTGGAACACACAAAGGGGAAACGACGGTGAAGATCGTGCGGCCTGAATCGTTCGTTTTTGTTATCGAGAAATATCGATAAGGCCGGCTTACGGGAGCACAAAGCGGCGCCGCCTTTTGTGGCCCCCGGCTCTCGCTATAAAAGTCGGAGCCTTCGGCTAGAAGAGGCGAAACGTGTAAAGGAAAAGAAAGAGAAGACACCGGATGAAGCAGAGAAAAAGGGCACGAAGCTTTTTCCTCCCCCTCCCACTTACTGCTCGTGCTTTCACGTCCAAATTCCGCAGGAATATTCTCGAGACTCTGGTCGAAAGGACAGAGCATTGGACCGAGAATTTTTAATTTAACCCTTTTTATTTCGCAATATCCGCCGCCGGCGGATCTCATATTGCAGTGTTTCGACGAGGCTCGCCCGCTCGCCCCCGTGTAAGGGGCGGAAAAGCGTTCCCGTGTACATCGCGTTAACCCATGTCCCGTTATCGGGGTCTCCCGCGTTCGCTAAGCCTTCTCTCCTCCGGCTACTACCCCTCTATGAGCGGTTTTCGACTTTTATTTCTCGGACGGCTGGAACGGGACCCGTAAGTTGATTAGCGGTTGGTACATAATAGAGTGGCGACTAACACGGAATCGAATAAATCGTATTTCGTAGTTGCCACACCTGGACCGGGTTATAGCAGGAGCGCGCATTAGCCGCGGCGTCGCGTCGTTCGCGTGGAATTTATCGCGATTGGATTATATCGACCGGTGTGAAATTAGATAGGCCAGCCGAATCTATCTTTTCCCCAGCGATCCTTGAAATCGACACCCCCTTCCTGCATCGTACTGGAACAGGGTCTCGAATCATGAACACCGTGAACCGCCGTCATCGAGCCGAAATTAATTAATCCGCGATTCGATTGCTACCGGTGCTCAAACTCAACACGTGAAAGAATTGATTGGCAGAAAGACGGATCGCCGAGCCGTGCGCGCGACCGGTCGATTGAACGCGCACGCTCGCTCGCTCGCCGATAAATACGACCCCGCAGCCACCCATCGGCTAATCCTGAATCGCCGGCGAATTCCAAATGGCCGACTGGATTCGCTTACGATTCACCTCCGCTAGAAGCGGCCGCCAATCCACGCGACGCGTGTACAATTTACATGATGCCTGGCGCAGTTCCAGCCGCGAAATACCGCGCTCGCTTTCGTACGCTCGCCGACGAATTAGCGCGAGCGTTTTTCGCTGGTACGGCTTCCTCGGCGGGGAAATCGCAGCATGAAACGGTGCGGGCCTCGCGGAACTTCGGTTAAGGACGGGCGAATGCGCCGCGTGACGTGCATCGTCCGACGGTATTTTAATAATCCAGAATCTGGCAATTTTGTTGCCGGTGCACGCGCGTTTACACGGTGCTCGAGGATAAATCAAACAACGAGAAGGAAAGTGTAATTGAAATAGTTTATGTCGGAAGAAAATTGACTGGACCGGAAAATATGGCTGGAATTGGTTTTCGTGCGATGCTTTTCAGCGTGTTTGATGTAAAATGGCAGGGGAATTAGTTTTTCAATTAATTTTTGCAGGTTAATTAATTTAGCGCAGGTTAGTTGGATTTCTGGATGCATGCAATGGAATGAAGGCTTTTGTAGCGCAGCATTATCGGCTTTGTTATGATACTCGTTCTCGTGTATATAATTACATTGTGTCGTGTTATAAGGTAATTAAAACCTGTGCAGTAATTACTACCTGTATTATTGCTAATGGCATCTTCCATATCCGCCATAACGGGAGAACAGTGAAAATCGAAACTTAAAGACAAATAAATTCCTTCATTTCTTTCGTGACGCAATGCGTAAACTCAATAACAGCTGTAGAAATATTTCACTAAACCGAGAAAACGTAATTTTAAAAAGAGGTATTTGAAACTTTCTGCTACAGGATACAATTTAAGATAACATACGCGGGAGTTAATACGCCTTGTGTTAGAATAACCCGTCGCAAAAACTATGATGAACAGTCGCGTTTACTTTTTCCGTCGGAAGGAACTGTACCGGTCGGGGATTACTGTCAGGACAGTGAAGTTTACAAGCAACAACTTGCTGCGAGATACCCGAATCCGCCCCACCCATTGTTCCCGTTTAATAAATATACGGACGTGTCTGGTTTGTTCACGTGACGCAAGCCGGCACGTTCCCACGCGAAGCGTGAACGGGCGAGCAATCAATCCGGAGCATTTTCATCTCCGAAAGTTTTACGTGCAGGCATGCCTCGGGGATCAATTCCGCGCCGTGTGCACCGATAATCTGTGTCTGTCGTGCAGCCGCGCGCAGCCAGCCCTCCGAAAGAAGGGACAGACGAGAGACAAGGGGGCGGCTGGCCCAACCCTGGCGTGCTACAACAATACCGGCAATGGTATTCCTATCCACCTATCGGCGGTCGACCTCGAAACATGTATATCGATCCGCGTTATACGTCCGGCGTGTACCGGGGTCCTCGACCACTCACAATTCGGAACAATCACACTTGATTGGAGAGCATTGGCCAGATGCAGTCTCGTTAATGTTTCATTTCGAGCCCTGCCGGGGACCCTTATCAGGTAGCCCTAAACTAATTACGGTGATGAGATTTGTCGTCATCCTTTGTGGGTCCATCTTTCGTTCCACAGAGGATTTTATTTGTACCGTGGAATTTGATTAACCCTTCTGGCCCTTGGATCGAATCGGATTTCATCGATATCATTGTGCTAATTAAGGATCATGCTCTTTCGAGAGTAAATTGCGTTATCGGAGCATGTGGCAGTGGAAGGATGACCAAGCTGCACACTTAGAATATTTTGAACTTGTCAACCCTTCGCACTCGAAAGTTCTTCGCTAGAAATATTCAATATTTTCTGATGGGATATAGACGGCTTTCTTCGAAACTAATAACAAAACGTACAAAGCTATTTTGTTTCAATATTTGACTGAGAGTCACCCGATAACTACAAAGTGTTAGAATATTGAAACCTATCACTTTTTTCGACACTCTTGCCGAAGAGGAAGGTTCTCCAAACATTCTGTTTTCAGAGACTAAAGTATCATTCTTCCTTCCTTGCTCAACTTTAGAGAAACAAATTTTCTATTCCCCTTCCACTCGAACAATTGAAGTCATCGTATCAGACAATTTCTACTCGACAATGTCCGGCGATTAAAGCAACCACCGTCGGTCCTTAAAATTTCACTACACTCGACCGAGTCGGTGCATTGGGTATTCGAGTGGCGGCGAGTCCGCCGAACGATCCTCCGTTATCGTTTTATAACGGGCAGATAAGGGAGCAACGGGGACTCCCAATCGTAACGGAGGGACGTGCGGCGTCAGTGAAAAATCGGCGATCACGGGTAACATCGCGACGGAATTACGCAGTCGCTGGGACGACCGGCGAGTGACGCTCCGATTCGCAGCCCACTCACGTGTCCGCCATCCACGTTCCTCGATAATCGTCGTCGACGGCGATCCGGCCCCGGGAATCATCGGGGCTTACGGGTTCCTGCGCCTACGTTCATTCCCGGCCCGAGACAATTGGGCGCCGTTTACCTGAATTGGATAGGTTGGGATAGGTACAGAGAGAACCGAGGAGTCGGCAGCGGCGGCCGACCTAGATCCCGCAAGATCGAAAGATTCCACCGCAGGGGCGAAGAGATGGAAGGTCGATAGGAGGAAATGGGCATCGCGTGTGAAGCTCGCGCGGAATCACGCGATCCGACGCTATCGGCGCTGCCCAGAGAGCCTCTTTGACGACGTCATACCGAGCCATACTTCTGCCTGAACCTCTCTCCCTCGACGCGAGCCGATCATTAAGGAAATTAAACGCGTCGTATTGGTACGAACGATCAACGCTGGTTCCTCTTTGAACCGATTTTTGTTGAATCAGGGTTCACCCTTTTTCGGAGAGAATAGAGGAAGGTGAGAATCGTTGAAAATGTTTGGCGATGGAATTTCCTTCTAGGAGCCTGGTGCTTTGTTCTATCTGTCGTTGAGAATTTGTTATGGGATATTGAATGCGTCGTATAGGAATGAAGGATTACCACTAAGTCTTGAATTGACGGTTATTATTCTTATAGGAAATAAAAGAGTATAGTAATTCTATTCCATAAAGATTGTGGAATAAAGTTACTGCATTCAACAAATGTTCGATTCACACGGATTTACTTAGCGCTCGGTAATCGTAAATAACGGATAGAGCACATAAAACGGTTGCCATAATAGTTTCGTATTGGAGTCCGAAGGGCACCGTGAGAAAAATTCGTATGGTCGTTACCGGCGTCTTAGGGATACAGTCTATTAAGACGCTACGCTGAGGGAGTCGATAGAAAGGTAATGGCGCTATCAATATAGAGGAAGCTGGAGGGACACGTTTCAAGGGAGAATAGAGAAGAGAGGAAAGGAGAAAGAGAGAGATTAGGGGAGAAATGGAGAGCAATTCCCGTCGACAGAAAGCAAAGGAGGACCGACTAGGGCGCGTTTGTTTAAGTGGAAATATCTTTCCTTTGACTGGAGCGTTATTCTTCATTAAGAAACTTCGTTGTCCTTTGCTCTTCAGACGCGGAAATCTGCCCTCCTTTTCCTTCTTCCGCTTTCACATCTCCGCCCTCGGGTCCCGCCTTAGTCTCTGACCGTGCGTCCATCTAACGGAAACTCGTAGCTTGCGATTATCCTTTCCAATACCAGTTGAATCCCGGAGAAAAGATCCCATTTGGAAAGTTAAAGATGTCACCGACTATGCTAACGAATGGCTCCACGTCCCTCTAGGAACAGCGCCATAAAAGATTTAGCAAACACTCAGCCTCTATTGTCGATCGAATGAAACATTGAAGGGACAATTCTGTTGGAACTAACGTCGCTGTGAAATCTACGGTATGTTAGCTCTTGAAGGTAACAGATGAAAGGGCTAGGACTACGAAGGAGAAATTCAATGAAATTTATATCTGTTAAAAGAACGAAATTTAACAATCACGCCTCAAATGAATAAAACACAACAAATCGTATCTACAG